CTTTTAAAGAATCAGTTTTGGTTTTGTTAATCTTTATTTCATGTATTTCTGCACTTCTTAATTTTTTTTTCTTTTAGGCTTGCTCTGTTTTTCTTTAACTACTTGAGTTTAATACTTAGATCACTTGTTCATTTTGACTACTGTATATAAAACTATACATTTCCTCCCAACTACTGCTTTAGCTATGCCTCAACTAGTATTTTCTTTGAAGATTTTTAACTATTTTGCAGTTTCTTTTATGATTTGCCCCACCAGACCAAGTTTATTTATTAATGTGTTATATAATGTTCATGTCTATTAGAACTTTCTACAGGTATCATTTTCTTATTGTTATTCCATTTTTATGTTCAGAGAACATATTCTGAAAGATTACAGATTGGGGAGGTGGGATATCAAGGCTTTCTTTGGGGCCTAGTGCATTTTTTGAGTATTTCATGTTTTTCTGAAAAGAATGGGTAACTTCTGCATTTTGAGTATACAGTTCTCATATCTCTTGGATTGAAGTACTTTGTTATCGAACTTTTGTAAATGTAATTCATCAGTTTTTCAGAGATGTGTGTTCAAGTCTGTAAATATTGTTGATGCATTTCTCCCTATAATTCTGCCAGTTCTTTTTATTATGTTCAGTTAGCTAACATATAGTACATCATTAGTTTTTGATGTAGTGATCAGCAATTCGTTAGTTGCATATAACACTCAGTGCTCATCACAACATGTGCCCTCCTTAATACCCACCACCCGTTTTTTTAATTTATATATTTGGAGGCTATATTATAGGATGCATATATGCTTTTGGTCATTATACTTCTATTATTAGCATCACTTAATTCTCTTCTTTACCTTTTAGCTATTTCTTTCAAGGAATTATATTTTGTTTCTTATTAAAATTGCCATTCTAGCTTTCTTTTGGTTCACTGTTCCTGTTATATCTTTTCCTTTCCCTTTATTTTCAGTCTTCAATCTTTCATTATGCTTCATAGTTAATTTGCTAGGTATGATTTTATCATCTAAAATTGGGACCTTTAACCCACTTATGTTTCTTATAATTATTGTGGTAAGGCTCTTTTTGCTATTTGATTTAATATATTCTATTTATTTAACTTTCTTTTTACTTCTTTTTTGCTTTCCATTGTACAGTGGTACCCCCTTATCTGCAAGGAATGTATTTTAAGATCTCCAGTGGATGCCTGAAACTGTGGATAGAACCAAACCCTACACATATTATGTTTTTTTCCTATATATACATAACTGTGATAAAGTCTAACTTATAAATTAGACACAGCAAGAGATTAACAACTAATAATGAAATAGAACAATTGTAACAATATACTGTAATGAAGTTAAGTGCATGTGGTCTCTCTCACTATCAAAATATCTCATTGTGCTTTTTTTTTTTTTTTTTTAGATTTTATTTGTTTGACACAGAGAGAGAGAGCACAAGCAGGGGGAGTGGCAGGCAGAGGGAGAGGGAGAAGCAGGCTTCCCGCTGAGTAGAGAGCCCTGCTTGAAGAGCTCCATCCTAGGACCCTGGGATCACGACCTAAGCTGAAGGCAGACGCTTAACCCACTGAGCCACCCAGGCGCCCCTGTACTCACCCTTTTCCCTTTCGTGATGGTGTTAGATGATAAAATGCCTACATGATGAGATGAAAGGAGGTGAATGACTTAGGCACTGTGATACAGGGATCGTAGCGTTTGGCTGCTTTTGATCTTCCAATGATGTGTCAGCCCATGGACCATCTGCTTCCAGACTGTGGTTGACTTGTGGGTAACTCAAACCACAGAAAGTGAAACCACAGATAAGGGGGAAACTATGGTATATATTGGATGTTCTTCTGCTGCTTTGAAAGCTGTATATCTTTCAAATGGTTAACCTGATTATTGAAATTCTTAACTACGTTAATGTTTTACTATCAATTTCAAAACTTTTCAGTATTAGTATCTATCCCCTAATAAAACAAGTACCTAATCAGGCTCTCTTCATGACTCTACTTTCTTCCCCCACCTCTTGCCAGGACCATATTGTAGAATTTAACCCCGAGGTTTTTATTAACATACTTGTGTTTGTCTCTATTTTTGTGGAATCTTCCTGGATCTCCTACCATGATGGTAGAGGGGTGAAACATCAATGCCACTTTGCCAGTTTAAAGAACAATTTCAATTTCTCTCAGCATTTTCCCATGACTTGCATGCTAATTCTTCTGAATCTTGGATTCTAGAAATTGATGTTACTATCAATGCCAATCAATGATAGAGTTCATAGAACAGTTTAAACTGTTTAAACTGTTTAAATAATTTCGCTATTAGTATTTCATGCTTCTGTGAGATCATTAAGTGGTATATTAGAGATAGAGGGGAAAGAAAAATTTTTCAGTAAAATTTAAATGCCCTATTTTCTGTATTAAATGGAAACCGTGGGACTAAGAGGGTCATGCTAGGTCTCCTGGCTTTGTTAACTTTCTTCTGAGTAAAATCATTGATGTTGTCTAACTAACCTATGTGTCAGGAAGATAATGTCTAGATCAAACTATGAGGTTTTCAAATTTAGTAAAACACTTACATTGAGAAAATGCCAATAAGATGACATTTTTGCTAAAAATGTATTGCATGCTTTTGTGAAGAAAGCTGCTTTTATTTTCTCAGCTTTGAGTTAATCAGGGAAGGAAATACAGTGGAACTCTCAAAGTGAATTCTTTGGGGAGTTAGCCATGCTGATGCCAGAGGGAGTGGGACACAAAAAGGGCCACTGGGGAATTATAGTCTTCATTTCTACATATAGGAATTTCAGGCAGCAGTGCAAAAGTGGGGGAATTTTTGAAGAGAATGGAGAGATCTGTGTGACTCGAAATGATACCAAATCACGTAAAATATGTTTGCTTTGGATTTCTTTGTCATATTCCTTCGAAAATTTTTATTTTTGCTTTCTTTCTGCCTTACATTTACTTATACAAATTCTTGGCTTTTCTGTATTTTGTCAATACAAATAATTTAAATACAGCAAGGGTTGCATACTTTTGTTTTAGGCTGAAGGTTAATGAAGAACTGCCACTTCAATAAGTGGATATTGGGGTAGAAATTGATGTGAAATATTTGCTTCTTTGATAACTCTCTGATAGAAATGAATGAGCAAAAAATGATGGGTAAAATGCCAAGGATCAGAAGTAGAGGTCCTGTGTAGGCTATATACTGGATAATTAGGCCTTGAATAATCAATACCTGAGCATGCAAAACAATTTTCTAGTGCCCAGTGTGTTACCAGCATACAAAAAGTTTAAAAAAAAAAATCTATGACAGTATTTAAATCTCTACTTTTATTTTATTTGTGAATTTACTTATTTTTTTTTAGGTGTATCAAGCCTGAAGAGAAGTCTCTTGGTGTGGGGTTACATACATTTTGCACAAGAGTATTTGGTAAAAATAGTTATTTTTTCCAACATCAGATCATTATTAAATACTAAGTAAATGAAATCATTCTCTCAGAGTAATAGTCTAGCAAATATCCCTTCTGTTTGCAGCACTTTGTAATTTATATGAGAATAAGGTACAATAAGACATGGAGAACTTCCTCCTTTTACTTGAAAAAGATTTATCTGAACTTAATTCTACTTTTCATCTATTAGAAGATTTTAAAAGCAAATGAACAAAAAAATGTCTTGTTAAAGTAAAATGTACACATGATTGGTCCAAAGCACTGCAGAAAAAAATATAAAGAATCATTAATTCAATGTTCTTCTATATCAATAATTTTATGTTGCATTTATCCATCACATTACTTGTCCTTTATAATTTAGAAACTTTATAGTAAAAGTAACTTCTAATTTCTAAAAATAAAACCTAAAGCATTCTATTTATATTTTGTTAAACTTTATTTGTTCTACAGATAGAGAAAATGTTTCCAAACAAAATAATGTACCTTAATTCTTACCTTGTTGATGGATTATTCTTTCCCCCCTCTTTAATTGTAGCTGGAATTCCTGCACCTATATATTTTGGAGCTTTAGCAGATTCCACATGTTTACACTGGGGAATTTTGAAATGTGGTGAGTCAGGGGCATGCAGGATATATGATTCTACCTACTTCAGGTAAAGATAATAAATTTTTTGAAGAATTGTTTTCTAAGCACAGGCTGTACATGAAATGGCACCATTCACGTATAACATTTTCTTTGTCAGGTTCTAGACTACTTTTGGTTGTGTTTCCAGAATATATGCTAATACTATATCTTTATTCCTTATTTATATACTAGAATCTTATTTCCTTACTATATTCAAAGTACTTGTTAAATATAAGCATGGATGGCTTCCTTAACCTAGCCTTTCAAAATGATCTTTGTTAAACTGGTTGCAATCAATACATTATTGAAAGTCATAGCTGTACATAAACTTCCTATCTAAATTACATTACTCTCTGAAGTGTTCCCATTTTATCCTACATCATTTTAACATCATATTAGCCTGAATCTTTACTTCCTTTCACATCCACCTCTACTTTTCAAAATGATATGTTTCCTCCTTCATTAAATTTTGCTGACACAATATTCTTCATGTCTCATAAAGGCTTATTCTTTTGTTAATATAAATCTGATTTTAAACAAAGCTCAAGATCATATTAATGTGTTTTTTGACAAAACACTTCCATTTTGTTCTATTTTCATGTTTCTTTTCATTTGGAGACCTGAATTGTTAAATTTGTATTAATTTCTCTTGACAGGGCAGTACAAAAACTCTTTCATTTACTAAAAAACAATTTAGCATTCTTTAAAACATTTTAAGGTCCTATGTTGATTAACAAAAGGATATATGTGAAGAACTGTGAGGAGGGCAGACAGCATGAGATTCCTGTTTTCATCAGTTCTCTGTTCCCCTAAAGCTCTACAGGGGTAATGTGGAGGTGGGCCCAGGCACGCACTGTACATGCAATGGGTTTGCTTCACAGCTGAGAAACCGTGAGGATCGCTAGTGTAGATCGGCCTCAACCTGCTGCCAGGATTCCTGTTGATAGTAGCCTTAACTGAATGCTATTTCAGACAAAATAATTATACTTGGTACCAAACTCTATTAGTCAGATTAATTAGAGTGGCTGATAAAGTGTACTCATGAGAAAATTCACCAGATGTTAATATTGTGTAGAAACAGGCAGTGGATATTGTTAGTAGTTCTCCATGGGTCTCTTACATTTCTGCATATCTTGTTAGCAGAGGCTTTTGCTGTAGACTCTCTTTTCAAGAATGTTTGAATAGTAAATGACCTTGGAAGATATAGGTGATGTTTTCCTATGGAGCAGAGTTTGCTGTCTAGGATGATAGAAGTAGTAACTCTCTCTAGGGCAAATGTTGGCAATTGGCTTGCAGCCCATTTAAAAGAATGGGATTTCCTAAACTCAGGATTTCTTAGCTGTGACCCAAACCCATTGTGTGCACAAAATCCACATAGGTCTCTCACTGTGTGATTCCTTTGGGACTTGAAAGTTAAGGAAATCAACCTGAATTTGCAGCTTTTGCTGACTGCTGTACTGTGAGTAAAAAAGCCCCGTGTCTCTGACCTAGAAATCTTTATCTTGAGCCAGCATCCATGCAACTGTGGCAGGCTAACCTGTTAGCTTAAAATCCAGGTAGGGGCGCCTGGGTGGCTCAGTCGTTAAGCCCAGGGTCCTGGGATTGAGCCCTGTATCGGGCTCCCTGCTCCGCGGGAAGCCTGCTTCTCCCTCTCCCACTCCCCCTGCTTGTGTTCCCTCTCTCACTGTGTCTCTCTCTGTCAAATAAATAAATAATATCTTTAAAAAAAATAAAATCCAGGTAAAGTCTAGGACTCTTTTGCACTTCTTAAGAACAGAAATACTGATTAACTTTAAATTTTGCCAAAAATGTAAGGATATAAGGATGGCCACTTACATTTATTCCAAGCTACTAGAAAGGAAGAAAGGGATTAAGGAAAATTCAATGGAAGTAGGAAATAGGAAAATAAAAGCATACAAATTAAGTTGAAAAATAAACCTAAATATATCAGGTTTATCAATAAATGCAAAGCAAATAAACTTGCTTCTTAAAAGATAGTGACTTTCATGTGAGTTTCAGTGTCTTCAAAATTCTAGCTATATGTTATTTACAAGACACAGCCTAAAAAATAAAGTGTGAGGAAAGGCTGAAGATAAAAGTCAGAAAAGATATACCAGGCAGATATTAAATCAACTTCTGTGGTTATATTAATGATTATGAGACAAAATAGAATTTACAGTGAAAAGGATTGGGGCACCTGGGTGGCTCAGACGATTAGGCATCCAACTCTTGATTTCAGCTCAGGTCTTGATCTCAGGGTCATGAATTCAAGCCCTGCATTGGGCTCTATGCTGGGCGTCGAGCCTACTTTAAAAATAAAATAAAATAAAATAAAGTGAAAAGGATCAATAGAGTTAAATAAGGATATTACTTAATAATAAAAGAAATGCTTTATCAATAATATATAGCAGTAATCAACCTATATATATCTATCAACCTAATTTCAAACATATAAAACAAAAAATTCACAAAATTACAGGAAGAAATCTAAATAAGAGTGGAAAATTTCAACAAACTTTCCCAATGAGTGAATAGAAAATGTAGGCAAAAAATTATTGAGGATAGAGAAAATTGTGAACCACCATATTGTACAATCTATCTACCTAATAGATCTATCTATCTGATAGATATATAACAATTTAAAAAAAGCCCAACCAATAGAATATACATCTTTTTCAAGCCTATAATAAACATTTATTACAACTAAGTCCAATGCCACAAAGTTGAAAAAAAAGAAGTATTGATACCATGTAACCACTATTTTCTGTCCATAATGCAATGCAATTAGAAATCTATGATAAAATGTTGCCAAAACCTCACATTTGAAATTACTTATAGGTCAAAGAATAAATTATAATAAAAATAATGAAGTAACTAGAACTCTATGTTAGTGAAAGCACTGAATGGGAAAACCTGTGGGACAAGGCTAACCCAGTACTCGAAGGTATATTTAGAAATTTAAATATATATATGTTTTTAAAAAGACTGGATTAGTGACTCAGAATTTAGAAAAAGGACAATGTAACTTCAAATAAAGTGGAAAAACCTGATAAATAATTCATTAAGTTATGTATTGATATATTTCCTATTTCAAATAAGAACAATAGATACAATATATTTTTTAAATTCCAAAGGGATATAACTGGGTTCAAAGATAATATACACAGAATAAAATGTATAGTATTATGCCAATTATTTAAAATGTAAAAACATATAAAGTAATTCTATACATTATGAATATATACATATACACTTTGTAAAACTATAAAAATAAACTAGAAACAAAATCCCTACCATTCAACATAGTTTTACATCTAGGAAGGGCTAAAAGATAATATCATAGGGGCACATGGGGATTTCGATGTATTAGTTTTTTCTTCTGAATTGGTCTGAAACAAAAATGGTAAAATTTAATCATTTTGAAAACCTGGGTGGTAAGTACAAACATATTAGTTAACTTATTTTTTCTGTCTTCTTGAAGTGTTTCATTATAACATTTTAGAAGTAAAAAGATGAAATAAAAAGATGATGAAATTAATAGACTACACACCATAGAGGTAACCAAAAAAGTAAAACTCTGTTTTTTGAAAAGATTAAAATATAATAATAATAATACTCTGGAAAGGCAAATAGAGAGGAGGCACAAATAAATGCTATGAAGAATAAAAAAGGAAATATAAGTACAAATATTTAGGGATTTTAGATACAGCAATTTGGAAATATTAAATAGTTTTCTAGATGAGTATATATTACCAAATTTTATTATAAATACATAGAAAACATGAACTTTTCCATAGCTATTTAAAAACATGAATCAATCAAAAATTCCCGTCCTCCAAGGACACCAAGTCCAGATTCTTTTAAGACAAGTTTTACAGGGCGCCTGGGTGGCTCAGATGGTTAAACGTCTGCCTTCAGCTCAGGTCATGATCCCAGCGTCCTGGGATCGAGTCCCACATCGGGCTCCCTGCTCCTTGGGAGGCTGCTTCTCCCTCTGCCTCTCTCTGTCTCTCATGAATAAATAAATAAATAAAAACTTAAAAAAAAAAAAAGACAAGTTTTACAAACCTTCAATGAACTGATGATTTCTGCATAATACACGTCATTCTGAGAAACAGAAAAAAAGAGAAAATTTCCCAATTCATTTACAAAACTAGTACAATCTTGATAATCACATTAGACAAGTTCAGTAGAAGAAAAAAAGTGCAGGCTGATTTTACTTACAAATATGCATGCAAAAATTCTAAATAAAAATGAATAAATCAAATCTAATGTATAAAACACTCACTAATGGAGTTTATATTAGGCATGCATGGATGGTTCAATATGAGAAAACTCTATTAATCTAATATACCCTATTAACTCAGTAAAGGGGGTAAGATCTTGGATATTCTGCTAACTATGTGCAGGAAAATAATTTGGTGATACTTTACTTACTCATAATTAAAACTTTGAGCAAACTCAGAATAGAAGAGGAAGTTTCTTAACTTGATTAAGGTCATCAACCCCCCCCCCAACCGCCCCCGAGTAGAAATCACAATTGACGGTGATTTCTTTGGAAGCATTCTTAATTAGATACTAGAATAAAACTGCTATTGCTGTCAGTATTACATTTAAATTAGAGGCTCAATTTTATGTAAAAGGATTTTAAAAATCCAAAAGATTAGAAAAGAAGAAAAGAAGTGTGAATATTCTGGATGAAAAATTCCAAAAAACGTTTAACCAACATTAGAATTAATAAGTGAGTTCAGAAAAGTTGCTTATATAACATTGACATGCAAAACAATTAGCTGCTGTTGTACTCATGGGAATGAAATGTTAATGATTAAGGGTATGCAATACTAGCTTATACTCCCCACACTATGCAACATTTAATATGTTTTAACATTTTTTTTTGATAGATACATCTACCTTGGCTTGCCAGCAGCTCTAAGAGGAACAAGCTATATTCCAGCCTTTTTAATCCTAATTATTTTAAAGAAGCGTCTTCTACCTGGTGAAAATGCCTCTTCAGGAACTATGCTTATAGAGGCAAAGGTTACAGGGAAGGAAAATGAATGCAAAGATATGAACCAAAATTCCAAAGTTTTGAATGATGATGAATTGAAAACTAAACTGTAATGCCTTATTATATCATGCTTCCCAGAGTTGGAGAATACACTACAGCTTAATTGTTTTTAAAATCAATAGGGATACAGAGTGTAACTTTTTCTAATCTTTATGAACCTCAAATTTTGGTGTTTGTTGTTGTTGTTTTTATGCTATCTTGCGTAAAAAAAAAAGTTCAATGATGGTATCTCTGAGGCATCCATGGCACTTGAGATATTTCTCAGAGAGACATTTATAATAACCTTCAAACAGGATATTAGAGCCAGCTTTATTTTTTTATGTGAAAATAGCAATTTCTCTTTTAAGTCATGTGAAATGAGGGTATATTTCCCACATCTCCTTTTCCAAATGATTCTAAAAATTTCCTATTATAAAAATCTACTTAATTCCGTTGAATTTCTGCTTTGATATTGGGGTTACTTAGAGACTGAAAGTCTTATCCTGCTTACGTGAATATTTATTCAAATGTATCACTTTTATGTAAAAAAGCCCACACCTTCTAATTCTAGGAATTGTTCTTTAACTTCTCCTATTCCTTCCAGACATGATTGCTTTAAAATAGATTACTCATTAATATGATGTTACTTTCTCTCAATTTATTCCCAGCTTTATTACTCAAGTCATATATATGCTCATTTTGTCCAGAATACTGAGAAACTGAGTCAGGTTATTAAAAATCATGTAGCAAACTGAGTGTTGTTGGAGTGGGGGGTGGGGTGGGAGGGATGGGGTGACTGGGTGATAGACACTGGTAAGCGCTGTGAATTGTGCAAG